CACACCTACATATATATATGAGCAGTGAGCTAAAGCCCAGTGAATAACATAATGCGTAAAGAGGTTAAGAATGAAATGTCCTTACAGTAATGAAAGCAGTTCATTAAACAATACTTCAGTCTTTCAGTCAGAACAGTTATTCAGTCATATGTGGTACATCCATTAGCATAGCAGTAAACAGTAGGTCTTAAAGACCGAACAGTAATGATGGCCATCAGTCAGTAAACAGTAGTGGTTCCACGAGGGAACCGACAGAGATCTCAGTAACAGTAACAGTAGATGCCAAGGATGCCACAGTACAATTTAGAATATAGGACATACATTCATTCGGTAAACAATATCAGTTCAGTAAACAGTTCAGTTCAGTATCCAGAAGATAATCATTTGAATATATCTTTACACAATTGTTACTCACAGAGTTCGGGCTACAGTATGCTAGAGCGTGTCTCCCCAGTCGCCAACCCTACACAGTTCACAGGTTGAACACACACTAAGCTACACAGTTGGGAAATATCATAACTTAATCCCTAATTTGCCTTGGTGTGTTCTACATCTATATCCTCAATAAGATGTCTTAAACTAGGTCTAAGAATGCCTAGAATGAGATGAGGATGCAAAGATGCACTCAAACAGCAGTTTTAGAAAAACAGAGTCCCGCTCGAGCTCAGGTTTCCCCGCTCGAGCGGACATGCAACAAAGGTACATGCTCGAGCGTCAACTTTTCCGCTCGAGCGTACTGTAAAAGTACTGGATGGGTGAAATCTCCGCTCGACGAACGCTCGACTCCCGCTCGAGCTTGAGACACAAGACTCCGCTCGAGCGCCCAGTCCTCCGCTCGAGCAGATAATAAAACAGTGCAGAGATGCTGGATGCTCGAATTCCACGCTCGAGCGGAACTTCCCCCGCTCGAGCGGAAGTGCAAAATCTGGGAATTCCAGATTGCACCTCCAAGCCAAAACTCAAGTTTAAAAGCATCAAAACTGATCCTCTTGGGCTGAATTTCCAGGAAACACTTGTAAACGTATAGAATATCATGGTTCAAAGCTCAATTTTGAGAAATCAAAGCCCAAGGGTGTTTAATTGAAACTCAATTTTAAACCATTTTCATGAACAATATGAACATGCAAACATGCATGAATTCAAATCATTTTGAAGCTCCAATTTGATGCTCTAAGGAGCCAATTGATCCAAAAACAAGTTGAAAACATGGACCATTATAAAATTATGAACATGCATGTACCATTTTACCATGAATTCAACTCAAAACTCAACAATTCAAACATGCAAGCATGAAATGAGCTCTATATCAACATGTATGAACTAAAACAAGACTTAACGCTACAATTGAAGCATGAATCATGCAAGAATCAATTCTATGACAACAACAAGAAGATGAATGTCCTACCTTAGTCTTGTATTCAAGGTTTGGGAGCTCAAAGTAGCAATCTACACTTCAATTACCAAGCAATTCACAAGCAAATTTGAGAAGAAATCAACTCCTCAAGTCTCTCTCTCTCTCTCTCTTTCTCTCTCTCTCTCTCTAAGGTCGGTTGTAGGCTCAAATGTGGCTGAAGAAGTGTTTTGATTCAAGTATGCAAAGGCTCTAATATGTTATAATAAGAGGCCCACTAACAATGGCAATATGGTGAATAAATCAACTCATGCACTCTAACTCATTTTAACCTAATTTAATCATACCTAATCAGTTTTCAGATAATTATACCATAAAATCCTATAAATTCTAATGAACACAGAACATTAATCGATTCCAGGTCCGGCCGCCAACAAGGCCTTCGATCAGCAGTTTAAACATAAAATGTGAACAGATCAAATAAACAATCAAACAGATAGAATACAGATTAACACTCATACTCAGTCAATTCAGTTCCAGTTTTCAGTCAGTCAGTTCAGTACTTTAATCAGCTCAGTTTAGCGGTAATCAATGTTTCTCGGTAATCAATCGGTCATTAATCGGTAAACAGTATGAGGGTTGTTACAGTCCCGTTGCCAAACAGCCTACTATTCGCATTCTCTTGTGTTTGGCCCTTCATAATCACTGGCCTTTGAAACAATTGGATATTTCTAATGCCTTTCTCCATGGTTTGCTTGAAGAAGAGTTGTTTATGCTTCAACCCCCTGGTTTTGTGTCTTCTTCTGCACCAACTCATGTTTGTAAGCTTCACAAGGCTTTATATGGCCTCAAGTAAGCCCCCCGGACTTGATACTCCAGTTTTTCAGCATTTCTCTTATCTCAGGGATTTTTCAACAGTAAATGTGATTCTTCTTTGTTTATTCAGAAGACTCCTACCACTATCACTATTCTTCTGGTTTATGTAGATGACATTTTGCGTACTGGCAATGATTCTTCTCATCTTCAATCCCTTATTACAAAGATGCATCAAGCATTTTCCATGAAAGAATTAGGGAATATCTCCTATTTCCTTGGTATTTCTATCCAAGGTTCTCCATCTTCTGGCTATTTTTTATCTCAGCAAAAATATGCTCAAGACATTCTCACTAAGGCTGGTTTATCTGATTACAAACCGTGTTCTTCTCCTCTTGCTGTTAAACCTACTTCTTAGCCTCATTCTACAGCCCCTTATTCTAATCCTACACTCTATCGAAGTTTGGTGGGTGCTTTGCAATATCTTACCATTACTAGGCCAGATTTATCTCTTGTAGTTAATCAATGTTGCCAATATATGCATGCCCCTACCAATGGCCATTTCTCTGCTGTTAAGCGCCTTCTTCGCTTTGTCAAAGGCACCCTTCATCATGGTTTACAGTTTTCTCCTAGCACGTTTGATGTTCATGCCTTTTCTGACTCCAATTGGGCCGGGGATGTTCTTGACCGCAAGTCTACCTCTGGGTGTTGTATTTTCTTGGGTTCCAATCTTATTTCGTGGTCTGCCAAGAAACAGGCTACTGTTTCTCGAAGTTCTACTGAGGCAGAATACCGCGCCCTTGCTCACACCACTACTGAGCTCACCTAGATACTTATGCTGCTACATGATCTTGGCATTACTCTTCCTACTCTTCCTATCCTTTGGTGTGATAATGTCTCAGCCATTGCTCTAGCAACTAATCCGGTGTTTCATTCTCGGTCCAAGCATATAGAAGTTGATTGTCACTTCATTCGTGACAAAGTTCTTGCTAAACAGTTGCATTTGCAATACATTTATACCACCGATCGGTTAGCTGATATCTTCACTAAACCCTTGTCTGTTGGCTGGTTTTCTTATCTCAAATCCAAGCTCATGGAGTTTCGTCACCCCATCAGCTTGCCGGGGCCTGATAAGATATCAACTATATCAGATAAGGATAGCTGCAGCATTATTTCTACTACAGATGCACACACAGTATCTCATCCATCAGTCAATTAGAGTTTGTTAGAGTGTATACCAGATTAGGTTCTAACTCTGTTAGTTGTAACTAATTGTAACTGGTTCTAAAGGTGTATATATACACCTTGTAAATGTGTTTACTGTATTGTGGATTTGAATAAAATAATACAATCTTTCATCAAAAAGGGTTTCGGCTAGATCTGTGCGAAGAGTGGAGGACTGAAGTGATGAAGAGGGATGAGGGAGAGGCTGTCGCAATGGCGGTGGTCGAGGGTTCTGTTGAAGAAGGAGAAACATAGAGGGTCTTGCGAGGGAGAAGAGAGTTGGTCGCAATGGCGGTGGTCGAGAAGGTTCTGTTGAAGAAAAAACAGAGAGGGAGAGAGAGATAAGAAGGAAGGAAGGAAGAGACGTGGGTGAGAATAGAGAGGGAGAAGGAGAGAGAGAGATAAATAGGGTATGAGGAGGCGACGTGCGTAGGTGGGAAGGTTAAGGAAGAGAAGTGTTTGGGCGAAAAATAAATATATCGGAGCCGTTGATATATATTGAAGATTGATCTGAGCCATTAAAATGAAATATATTTTTAATAAATTTTGACATATTTTCAAAAACCGTTCTACTTTACTATATAGATTTCATTTAAAAATATATGGCCTATCATTATAATTATAAGATTTTGTCAATAAGCGAAAAAATTATACATTCTATATAATAATCAGTGTTATAAATAATATATAATTTTGTTAAACCTAAAGACACAAGTCAACAAAATTCTTTACAAACCTATCACATCTTCAAATTAAGAAAATATTTGAGACTTAAAAAAAAAAAATTATAATTTGGCCAACAATAATTTGATATTATAAGTATTAATTTTTAATTTTTACACTTGTCATATAGGGCCCAACTCTTTTATCACATTATTATTATTGTGAACAAATTTAAGAAATTTAAATTGTAATCTGAAACATTTTTTTTAAATTATGTATCATAATTTTGATAGTACACATAACTGTTGTGATAAGTAAATCAACAATATTAGAGGGTCACAATTTTTGTGGTCACAATGGCTCAAAATTGTCAAAACGATATCATTTTGACATATTTTACACCCAAAACAATATCATTTTGACAATTTTAAACTATTGTAGCCACAAAAAACTTAAAAAAAAAAAATTATAATTTGGCCAACAATAATTTGATATTATAAGTATTAATTTTTAATTTTTACACTTGTCATATAGGGCCCAACTCTTTTATCACATTATTATTATTGTGAACAAATTTAAGAAATTTAAATTGTAATCTGAAACATTTTTTTTAAATTATGTATCATAATTTTGATAGTACACATAACTGTTGTGATAAGTAAATCAACAATGTTAGATGGTCACAATTTTTATGGTTACAATGGTTCAAAACTGTCAAAACGACGTCGTTTTGACATATTTTACACCCAAAACGACATCGTTTTAACAATTTTAAACCATTATAGCCATAAAAATTGTACTCCTCAGACATTTTCCCAAGTAAATCATGGGTTACCAGGACCACAAGTTATGCCACTTGGCAGTCCCACAGGATTGCAGTCCACCACCAAACTTTTGGACATCAAGAAAAGCAAGAAGTAAAAATTATCAAAAATTGGGTTGTGCAGGGGGTCTATATAAAGTGGTGGGACTTGGTAGTTGGAACTGTGAGGGTAGTCCCTTATTTTTCTTTCAAGTACTAGTTGGGTTTTTTGGTGTTTTTTGAGTATTGGTGAAGATGAGCTATCTTGGTGTTGGTGTGGGTCCTGGGAATGTTCCAGTGTATCATGAGAGCAATCTAAAGGTAGTTGATCGGAGGGTGAGGATTGCAGAGCTGGTTTTGAGGTGTTTGATCTGTGGTCTAGGTGTTCTTGCTGCTGTTCTTGTTGGGTCTGATACTCAGGTCAAAGAGATCTTCTCAATTCAAAAGAAAGCCAAGTTCACAGACATGAAGGCTCTTGTGTAAGTCTCTCTCTCTCTCTCTCTCTCTCTCTCAGATCAAAGGTTTTTCTACACACTATATCGGGTTTTAAATATCAGTTGTATATTTGTTAGAATTTTGAACTTTCAACACTGATCTTTACTAATATATCAGTTTGATATGGGCTCATACATGACTATATAACTGACAAGATACACATACAATACCGTTCTTTAAAATCGTACACCATATAAGCTTGTTTGGTAGAGATTCTTGAAAGATGAAAATTGATAATCAGAAAATAAAAATTAAAAACACTTCTTTTGTATTTTTCAATAGTCAAGTTTCTTTTAACTCATTTAAGTTACTTATATTAAACTTTAATCAGAAGCTGAATAAAAGACAAATTATACACAAAAAAAAAAAAAAAAAGAAGAAGAAGAAGTTATTAACCCTATAGGATTATAACTTTGTATTTTAGTAAATTTTGATGCAAATGTCTTCGTTGCAGCTTTTTGGTAGTGGCCAATGGGTTAGTTGCAGCCTACTCATTGGTCCAAGGGTTGAGGTGTGTGGTGAGTATGGTTAAAGGGACTGTGCTCTTCAACAAGTCCTTGGCTTGGGCTATTTTCTCTTGTGATCAGGTATACACTACTAGTTCTTTCTTAGTGATATCATTGTGACAGTGATAAATTTTTTTAAAAAAATAATCGATGGGCCTTCTTTCTTGTAAGTGATAAAATTTAAACAACAATCTAAAAAGACCACTAAAGACATGGCACTCAATAAAAAAAAGAAAAAAAATATAACACCAAGGTCAAAACATCAAATCATTTATGGTGGAGCCCACTGCCACATCATTAGTGGTAGCACTAATTAGTGCTCTCACTCATTTTTTAAATTTAAATTTGTCACTTCATCACACTACAAAAAAATTAAGGTTTTAAAAATTGAAATTTGACAAAATTATTTTTTAGCGACCAAATATTTTTATTACTAAAAGTGTTGTTAATATATTTTTAGTAACAAAAATTAGACATTAGTGATGAATAATTATTTTTTTAGAACTAAATTTTTTTGTCTTAAAAAGTAGACTTAGACCAAATTATTTTGTTATTTATTAGTAATATTTTTAAAATTTTGTCACTAAAAACTTTGTTTTAATTTTTTGAGACGATCTTTTAGTGACTATTTTCAGGACAATAGAAATTAATCTCTAAATATCTTTTGTAACAAAATTTTCACTTTTAAAGGCTAAAAAGTTTAATTTTTAAAACTCTTACATGTGATAGTGTCATGTATTGATTTTCTTTTGCACAAGTCTTCTGATTGTATAGACCTTACTCAGATTATCTGAGGATGTCTGCTTATTATGGTTGGAATTCAACGAATTAAACTAGTGAATTACATTTAATGAAACCCTTAATTGCTCATTGCATGTTTGTGCTAGGTAGGTAAGAGTATTTATTAAAGAAGATGTGCTTGATGGTCTAATTCCTAATTCCTAACACTATTTATTGCACTTCTAAAAGAATAAAATAAAACTAGAAGAGTACATGGATGCTGGAAGGCATGAGATCTTCTATCCTCAAATCTCTCCGTCCCTCTTTGTTAAAACACTCACCATTAAATCATGAATTCATATTATTACATCTCGAAATTTTCAATGATTCAATGGTTAAGAACAAATTGGGAGAGAAAGATAGGGAGATTTACGGACATAGGATTTTGGGCTTGGCTACCAATTTTATGTTGGTTTGTTTTGTTCTTTTGTGAACTTCTAAATTTAAGCCGATTTTTCACTTCTTAGGTCTGTCTAGACTAGAATTGCCCAAAATTAAACAAAATGAAAATTTTAATAAAAATCCACTAAAGAAGAAAAAATTCAAAATTTATCCAAAAATACCTTTGAAATCATTTTTTTGACTTCAGTTTAAATTTTTTATTTTCAGGATAATCTAGCCCAGTTAAATCTAAAGGATAAAAAATAATAATAATAAATTATTAACATAATTTTGAAAAATCACTGAAAAAAAACATAGAAAAGGTCAGCCAAATGTCAACAAACTAAAATATTGTAAACAGAAGTAAAGAGCAGTAACGGCTAGTGGTCAGGGTAGGTCCGAAAAGGATCCATTCTGATATGCAGAGGTACTTGGTTTCCTAATTGATCACACTAGGTTGGCTACATTTACAACACTCCTAACCTTCTCTGGCCCAACCCCCACCTAACCCTTTTCCCAGACATCTATAAGCATTGCACATATGGAGATAGGGCTTTCTTATTCTCACGAATCTTTAGGGCTTTCTTATAAGCATTGCACATTGTGGGGATTGCTTTCTTCCCAGCACGACACGGTATTCGTTGTATACTTTCTTAACATTTATCAGACTCACGTCCAAACATGACCTACTAGTTGTAATGATTTTTTTAACACTACAAATGTTTTGTTTTAACAAACATAAAATACATTACAAGTCTGAATAAATGAACTTCAAATTCAATGGTAAAAGGAAACAACATGAATTCACACCTATTCTCATCATTTTAACAATTATTATCTTTGAACATGTGTCCTCCACGCGTTGTCTCACATTTTTTAAAATTTTCGTGTTGACATGTCCATGTCATATCCCATGTTCATGTCCATGGTTCTTAGTTTAGACAGATCATGGACCTGCAAGAACTATAGGTGATCCTAGTAAACTCAGAGTTATTGACCAAAGTAGCAGCTGATAAACCAAGTAACCAACTCAATAAGTAAATCATCATGAATCGTAATAACCCAAACAATTACTAGATCATGTGAAAATTGCGATATACAGAAATCTAGAGACATGATCATGAGTTTTTTAGACGGAGAGATTTCAGACAGATGATCCCATGCCTCCATAATACCTCGTAGATCATCAGAAAATGAACCCATGACTTGTTGATTTAATTAGCAATTTGATGGGTCGGGATAGGGACCCCATTTTAGAGAAGTTCAGAGCTAGAAGCTCCTAGGAACAATGTTACATGAATTTGTGACAAGGTAATAGGAAATTATACCAATTTTTCCATCTAATTTGTCATATTGTCACGTTACAAGAAGTGTTTGAATCTTCATAATGCATGCCTTCGGCACTTCCCATCTAAGCATGATTTAACAGAGTTCTTTAAGCCAAGACGAGGATTTGACGAGTTGGGTATGATCAAATACAAGATTTCATGTCAAATGAATATGGGCTTAGGCAGATCCATCTTGGAATTGAGATACGTGTAAAATTTAACTAGTTTCTTGTTTGATTCAAATATGAGCTCCATATGTATTAACTCTCTTCTACAGCTTATGGCATACTTGACTTTGGCCGCGGTGGCAGCGGCTGCACAGTCTTCAGTGTTCGCTAAGTTTGGGGAGTCAGAGCTGCAATGGATGAAGATATGCAACATGTACGGAAAATTCTGCAACCAAGTAGGAGAGGGATTAGCCAGTGCAGTAATTGCTAGCCTTAGCATGGCGGTCCTCTCTGGTGTTTCTGCTTGATTAGCCAGTGCAGTAATTGCTAGCCTTAGCATGGCGGTCCTCTCTGGTGTTTCTGCTTTTAGTGTCTTCCGATTATACGATGGCGACAAAGGTGGTAAGAGCAGTGCAAGATGGTAGGCCTCTAAAGGTCATTAATGTCATTCTAGCAATGTTTCCAACTCAAAACTACCCTCTTTGGTGTCTCTTGACCATGAAGATTTGTTGTCATGTATGATATGACAGAGAGTGCACTTTGTTACTTAACCAGTTTGTAAAAAATAAAACAAGGCTAGTGTTTGTGGAATTTGTCACTAGATTTGTCTTTTACTACATTTTGTAGGATTTGAGATATGGTAATTAACTTGACCACATGTGATTCCGGTGCAGTAGAAAAACATTGGACCTTTAGAGTCGGTAGCTCACAAGACTCAAGACCCATCAGGTTGATCACTGGGATTCCCTTCACCCCCTCTTCCTCGAGCACCAATAATCTGTATCATTATTTGTCTCATTTTCTATCTTATATATATCATATATTGTTACGCTACTAAAATCAATTAAGAAGAATGACGGACAAATAATGAATGGTATAGAGAGCAAGACTTACGCTTCCACTCTCATCTCAAGCACAAGTCATTTGTCCTAGTCTCTATCTTATGCTTTGTGCTATATTCACCATATAGTCATGTTACTAAAATCAATACTAGAAGAACATGGGATAGGCAATTATACAGAAAGTGAGACAAATAATCTCATACCCTCCCCCTCCCCGGACCAAAAAAGAGAGAAGAGAGATGGTAATAATTTGGCAAAATTATAATATAATATTCGAATCCAAGCTGTCAGTTTTTTCTTTGTGTGTGTGTGTGTGTGTGTGTGTTTGTGTTTGTGTGTGTGTGTGTGTAATAAATCCCCACAGCACAAGGAACAAGCAGTGTCATGAAAGCAAGATGTAGAAAGAGAACTTGTGCTGTATGTTTTTCTTTGTATATGTGTCACGACCCAAACTTGCCTCTAAAAGTTTAGACTATGATTGTCCTGTATTTAGGTCTCAAAGATAAAATTTCAAAATATTTAAATGATATCGAGGCCTAAAGCGGAGGTAAATCCAATAGTAATGTCCATTGAACTTGTGCATACATGATAACTGAAATAATTAAAACAATATAAACACACTGACATACATATATATCTACGTCTTATACGCATATACATAAAACTTAAGTAAATACAAAAATTCTAACAATACAAGGTTAAAGCATCAACACAGAGGCGCATCTTGGGTGGCTTGACTTAGCAGGTTCACAAAGAACTCCTGAGGCTAACCTAAGGATGGTCTCCAGATTGATCACCTACATACAGATAAAATACGGAGTGAGCGAAACTCAATGAGTAATAATAAAGAGAAGTGAATCAAGTAAATAATCTAGATCCAAAAAAAGCATAACACCATACTTTTCCACATTTACGTCATTCACAACATTATTTATAATCGTATTTACAAGACGGCCTCAGGCCCACATGTATCAAAACGGCCTCGGACCCAATCGAATATCATAACGGCCTCAGGCCCAATCATTCATCAAAACGACCTTGGGGCCAATCATATATTAAAACGGCCTCGAGTCCGATTCATGTATGTATGGACCCAAGAGGTGTCTCGTACGGATTCTAGGGGTGACTCTCACTGGAGCACTTAGTTCCGTACAGCACTTTGTTCCATACCAAAGTCAATAGGTTTTAAAGACCGAACAATTCATATCATGCCATAGCTTAAGCGGAACGGATAAACAGAATGGCCTTAGGCCCATTTCATATGACATTGTTCATACTTGTACCATTGCTCAATCATTTCCATTCACTTATAATTAGGGCTGTGCAACGGATTGCCCAACCCGCCAAGCCGGACCTGCCCGACCCGACCCGACCCAACCCAACCCGCATTTTTATGGATGTGTGACACGTGGCGGGCGGATGCGGGCCCATTTTTTGAGTTTTGCAGGTTTGGGTCGGATGGCAATTGATCCGTCATTACACCCGTGAAACCCGACTCGCCCGTATTGCCTCCATTTTTTTTATTTTTTATTTTTTTTTTTACCCTCCTTTACCTATTACCTAAAGGCGAAAGCCATTCATCTTCTTTGATTCAAGAGATACACAACACACAGACACACTCACTCTCTTCTCTCTCTCTCTCTTCCCCCTGAAACCCTAACGATAGACGACGACGATCGACGATCCCTAAAGTCGATCGGCGATCTTCTTTCCAACCGAAGATCTGAGTTGTTTTTATTTTTTTATTTTTATGCCCTTTTCTTCGACTGAAACCTTAACCCTAACCCATTCTTCGACTGAAAGAGGATAGGCGATCGTTGTGGTGGTGGTGAGATCTTCTTTCCTCTTAATCTTCTATTCTTCTTTTCAATCTCTAATCTGATTTATTTTATTTTTTTTGGGTTCCATTCCAGTTCTTCGACTAAAACCTTGATCTGTTTTTCAATTTTTTTTCCTGCTCTTGTTTTGTAATTTGATATTCGATAATCTTCTTTCCTCTTCTTCTCCTCAATCTCTAATCTGATTTTTTTTTTTTTCCGTTCCAGTTCTTCGACTGAAAGCTTAATCTGTTTTTCAATTTTTTTTTCCTGCTCTTGTTTCGTTGATATTCGATAATCTGTCTAACCAAAAATCTAGTTTTTGTTTTGTTACAATTTTGTTGCAGTTCTAATGCTGCCATTGATGTAATCTTGAACTGGGTTTGGGTTTTCCTCTCTCTCTGTCTATCAACTTCAGCTTCATAGGAAAGCTGTTGTTTGATTTGAGGTAATGTAATGCCACTAAGAAACTTTTGATTTTTTTTCTTTTTTAATATAAAGATTTGTGTAAATCAGTTGCTACTGTCTTGAATTTGAGGTAATGTAATGTAATGCCACTGTCTTGAATTTGTTTGCTTATAAAGAAATTCTAATAATTATTTAGCACAACCCATTTGTTACAAAGTGTTTCATTGATTCTATTATAATGTGAAAGTGATTCATGTTACTTCCATAGAGACATTCAACCCTATTTTCTTGTTTGTTTGCTTAGTTTTATAACTCTGATAATAATTTGTTTGGTTGATTCTATTTGGGCTTTGTATTTTTGGGACTTGTATTGAATGCTTTGGAGTAACAAAATGATTTTTTTTTGTCCTCTCTTGGTGTTTATGAATTCATATATGATTTTTTTTGTCATCTCTTGTATTTCTGGGAATTGATTTAGTTGTTCATATATGTATTTGTTCATGTAGTTGTTCTGGGAATTAATTTAGTTGTTCATGTATTCTGCTAAGCATATTTGATAATCATAAGGAAAAACCATTCTGGGATTTGTTCATCTTGTTTGAAATCATAAGGAAAAACATACCATGGATTTAAAAAGAATATTTTGAATGATTTTTTATTTATTTTTGGCAGTATATTTGATAATCTTTTGGTCATGGATCCTTCAAGCGAAGAAATATGTTTTGTGACTCCTAATGTTGAGCCTGAATCATCTTCTATTGACCCCCTCTACCCAACCTAATGCTCCCCTTCCTAGACCACCCCTAGCCAAAACTAGTAGTAATGGAAAAACAACATCAAAGGCTTGGGATCATTTTGAAAAGATTAAGGGTATTGATGGGAAAGATTGGGCTATGTACAAGTATTGTAAGAAAGAATATATGGCAGGATCTAAGAGTCATGGAACAAGTAATTTGTTAAGTCATTTAAAAAATTGTACAAAGTATCCGTATAGGGATACTCATGGGCAACAAACATTGGGGTTTCAACCTAGAGAAGTTGGTGGGGAGGGTGTTGTTGATGTTGTGGCTATGTCATTTTCTACCGAAGTTGCTAGGAGGTATCTTGTTGAGATAATAGTAATTGATGAATTGCCCTTTAGATTTGCTGAGGGGATTGGTTTTAAGAGGTTTTGTAATGTCATGCAATCCAAGTTTAAGATCCCCTCTTGATATACCATTGCTAGGGACATTGTAGACATATACACCAATGAAAGGGAGAAGTTGAAGCAAATTATAAAGGGGCGTAGAATTTGCTTTACCACAGACACATGGACTTCTATACAAAACTTGTGTTATATGTGTCTAACTGCATATTTCATTGATGATGATTGGAAGTTACAAAAGAGGATCATAAAATTTTATTAAGTTGAAGACCACAAAGAAGAAACTCTTGGTAAAAAAATTGAGGCACTCTTAAAAGAGTGGGACATTGATGGCCTTTTTACCTTAACTGTTGATAATGCGAGTTCCAATAATCTAACCATTAGATTCTTGAAACGAACCACAAACTATGGAAAGGAACAATCTTGGGCCATGAATTTTTACATATGCGTTGTTGTGCACATATTCTACATCTCATCGTTAGTGATGGATTGAAGGATCTTGAGTCTTGTATAGCGAATGTAAGGCATGCAGTGAGGTATGTGAGGTCTTCTCCAAACCGCCTTGACTCTTTTAAAAAGTATATGGAAATTTTAAAAATTGAGAGTAAGAGTCTCTTGTGCCTAGATGTGCCAACACGGTGGAATTCCACATATCTTATGTTGGAGGCGGCAGAAAAATTTGAGAGTGCTTTTTAAAGAATGGGTGAGGAGAACTACAATTATAAACACTACTTTTTGGATAATGAAGGGGGTGAGAGGAGAGATCTGCCTACAGCCGAGGATTGGGATAATTGTAGGGTGTTTTTGAAATTTCTTAAAATGTTCTACAATGCAACAAAGAGATTTTCTGGGTCTTTGTTTGTTACTTCAAATATATTCTACACTGAATTTTTTGTCATTGAAAATATGATTGAACAATTAATCAAAGACAATGATCCTATTTTGTCTTCAATGGCAAAGAAAATGAAAGAGAAGTTTGACAAGTATTGGGGAAATGGGGATAAAATCAATCTCCTTTTGCATGTTGTGGTTGTGCTTGATCCTCGAAGAAAAATGACATACTTGCAATTTTGTTTTTCAACAATTTTTGGTAGAGATGTGGTGAAAGTGAAAGAAATGTTAGACAAGGTGAAAAATTGTTTGAGTCAATTGTATGACCATTATGCCACACATGATTCAGCAAATGTGCATGCCTCCGATGTAAATGAAACAACAAATATGGTGATAGATGAAAATGACCCACACTTTATTGTGAACTCTCAATTTAACTCATTTTTGGAGGGGCAATTTTCTAGTGGTGGGAGTATGTCGGAGTTGGACAAGTACTTGGGTGATATTGAGAAAGATGGGAAGAATGCTCAATTTGACATCTTAGAGTGGTGGAAGGTTAATGAAACAAAATATAGAGTATTATCACTTATAACACAAAATGTGTTGGCAATGCCTATTTCCACTATTGCTTTTGAGTCGGCTTTTAGTACAGGAGGTCGTATACTTGATCCATTTCGTAATTCACTTGCTCCCAAGATGGAGGTTCTTGTTTGTACACAAAATTGGCTTCGAAGTAACATTCCAATATGCCTTCGACAATCAATGGAAGATGTTGAAGAATTTGAACAACAATATGATTCGGGTAATATATCCATTTCATTTATTTTGTTTTTGGAAAATTCGTTATCTTCATTATACATGTTTTTGTTGTGTTATGTTTTATGTATAGTTGTTTCGAAATCAAGTTCATGTTCAAGCCTAAGTCTGACGAGTAATTTTATTGAGGTTTAATATCCTTGGTAAAATACTACCCCTTTGTTAAATGTTATTAGCATATATTTACTTGTTTTAAGTTTAAGAGTTTTTAGTGTTTTCCTTATTAAATAATTTCATTTTTTTGTTATGCAGGTTTAGATGGCTCTGGGTTTGGTGAATTTTTTGTTTCTTTTTGGATGAATGTAACTTTTTTTTTGGATGCACAATGTTAGATGACTGTAACTTTTTTTTTTATTATTATTGCACAATATTTGTTGGATAACTGTAACTTTATTGTTTTTGAAACTCTTGGATGACTGTCACTTGGATGGACAATGTTTTCCTTATGTTTTATGTGGAAGTTAGATGATTTATGCCATTGGAATGAATGAATACTATTTTCCCAGGTTGAACTACCCAGCTTGTTTCATAGATGTGAATGAACCAATATTTTGAATTATGCCCATTGCAATGAATGAATACTATTTTGCATTGCCCAAGTTGCATTGCCCAGGTTGTTTAAGAGATGTAAATGAATAAATATTGCATTGTCTAGGGATTTTTTTTTTTTTGTATGTTGAAAATTTGTAAAATTCCAAACCGCCAAACCGATTCGTATCCATCCGCCAATCCGCTAATCCGCATCCGCCGGATTGGCGGACAGATGCAGATTGATTTTTTCCAATCCGCCAATTTGGCGAACGAATGGCAGATTGGAGGTTTCATGGCCGCAACCGATCTGTGCCCACCCCTACTTATAATTTATTTAATGCATGCCACTCACAAGCTAAAATACATGAATCATAGCACCATTTACCCCAAAATATGCCATTCTCAATCATAATACATAAACCATAGCATAATTTATCTCAAACATGCCAAGCGCAATCGAAGTACAAAAATTCATAATCAGAAATACGGAAATAAATATATCATTACACTATTATTACTCACAGTGATGCAGTGAACGATAGTCCCCTCCTGTATGTGCCCTACACATAGTGTGACAACCCTCACCTCTGATTAGTACCAATCTCTGATTAAGCATGATAAGTGATTGATCGGACTGAAATTCTGAACTGATTGCATGAGTGTATTGTTTAAACACATCTCTATCTGTTTGATTACTTAATTGATCTATTCATGTTTTAATTTCGAATTGCAAATTGAAGGCCTTATCGGCAGTCGAATCTGAAATTGATTAATGTTTTATGCTAATTAGAATTTATGTGATTTTATGGTAAATTTAATTTAAATCTGATTTGGAATGATTAAATTAGATTAATGAATGTCAAATTACATTAGTTAGAGTTATTTGCATGATTGCCATTATTGGGCCACTTTCATATAATACTTTCAGACGTAATGCATATCAGCCTCGGTGCATTTTTGTGTTCACCTTCTAGTCCAAAACCGAGAGAGAGTGAGAGAGTGAGAGAAAAGCTTGAGTTCATCAAAATTGGCTTGAAACCTAGAAGATTTGAAAGAGAATTGCACATTTGAGCTTCTAGACTTGGAATTCAAGGTTTAAGGTAGGAGTTTCCCCCATTTAATTGTGAATTTAAGTTAGTTCTTGCATGGTTCATGGAAGATTAGAGTTTTAAAGTCATAAATTGGTTTAAATGTTGAATTGAGAGCTAGATCATGCATGCATGTGCACATTCTTGAGTTTTGAAGTTGTTTCATGAGAATTTATACATGCATGTTCATATTTTGGGTCTTGATCCATGAATTCACCATGATTTTGACCTTAAACTTGCATTTGATTGTAGTTTGGAGCATTGGAATTCAAAGGAACACATGCATGTTATATATACACCTTGCTCTTAAAGTTTTGTTTGAAATAGGTGTTTAATTGATCTACCTTTGGGCTTTGATTTTGCAAATTGATCTTTGAAACATGTCATATTATGGGTTTTAAAGTGTTTTCCAGAAATTAGCCCAAAAGGATCGAATTTGATGTTTTAAAAGTTGAGTTTGTGCTTGGAGGTTCAATCTGGAAATTTCAGATTTTGGACCCACGCTCGAGCGTAGGACTTCACGCTCGAGCGTACACTCTGAGTCTTGCACTTCCGCTCGAGCGTAGGAATCCACGCTCAAGCGTGAAATGCGTATACCCAGAAGTTCATTTGTTTTGCAGTTCGCTCAAGCGTAGACCTGAGTCTTACGCTCGAGCGTGGATCGAGCGCCCATCGAGCGTGATTTTTGTGCATCCAGTACTTTTACCTGAGTTTGCAGTCCGTTCAAGTGGAAAAAGTCACGCTCGAGCGGAGCTCCTTTGTCTGCATGTCCGCTCGAGCGTAGAAAGCCACGTTCGAGCGTGGACCCCTATTTCAACAAATTTTGAAAAGTGTTTTAAAGTGCATCTTTGCATCCTATTTCCATCCTAGGCATTCCTAGGGCATGTTTAAGGCATCTTAATGAGGATATTAATGTAGAACCACACCAAGACAAGATAGGGGTTAAGTTATCAAACCCAAGTGTGTAACTTAGTGTGTGTTCATTCTGTAACTGTGTAGGGTTGGCATCCGAGGACGCTCATTAGTTGTTTATAGCCTAGTGCTCTGTGAGTAACAATGTTGTAAAGATATGTTCAATCATGAATATTTTCTGAATGATCTACTGTACTGCTTTCTGAAATGATATTTCTTACTAAATGAATGTTTGTCCTATTTGTGAACTGTATTCGTGGCATCCATAGCAATCTACTATTACTGTACTATACTGTTACTGCTACTGTTACAGAGATCTCTGTCGGTTCCCATGTTCAGAACCATTACTGTTTACTGTTATGATGGCCATCAACTGACTGTTCGGTCTGTTAAGACCTACTGTACTGTTTTGCTATTGGATATACCACATATGACCATTATGGTTTCTAAATGACTGTTTTAAATACTGAAAGGACATTCATTCTTAACCCCTTTACGCATATGTTATTCACTGGGCTTTAGCTCACTATTTATATTTATATGTAGGTGTCCAGGCACTAGACCAGAGCTAGGAGCATCGGGTTAACTCCCTTTTTGTCAAGCCAACCATTGTGCCTCACCTCGAGGTTCCAAGTCTGACCAAGCTAAGGTTGTTTTAGGGTGTCTTAGTTTCACCCTTCCGTCGCTGTTTTGTAATACTGTTTAAGACTTGTACTGTACTGTGCTAATTAGGGATTTGGTCCCTAACCTAAATATTTGTACATATGGTATATATATGTTTTGCTTATGAATGTGAATATGTTCGGAAAAGTCTTTTTGCATACAGACTGTCACAGCTCATTGGACATCTATTATTACTGTTTTGGCTTCCGTCAGCGCCTGTACTCTG